TTTCTTCTTGTCAAAAACAAATTGCATGAAAAAAACAAAACCAACTGTGTGTCTTTAATCTATGTATGTCTTTCAACAACTATCAAGTATCATGTTAGGACTCTCATGCCCACGCAGTAAATCTTTGGGTCAAAAATGTGCTAATAATTTAAGCCAACATGGAAGAGATGTCAAAGTGTTCAGATGAAGGACAGTCGAGTGATTTTGTCTTAAAAAAGGCTCAGTAATTTTCTAAAACAGCTGGGCACTGTAGTTTATATAAGACATTACTCAAACATGAGCAATAGTGCATTTGCTTGGGACTATTTTTAGTCGCAGATTAATACACATTTGGTGTGCTAAGTGAGTATTTCCGGCACTAGGATGGTGTGGTTTAAAATAAATTACACTGCCCATATTTGTGGTGATAAGAAACCCACTAACGGCGTATGTCAGTCGTTTTTTCTGTTCATAGGGGTGGACAAAACAATAACAATCGCATTTTTTTGAAATAACAATATAAGAAATGTTCAATAAATACTTAATACATTTGATTTTATTAACTTAAATCATACACAATTAATTTGTTATTAAGATGTTTATTTTGTTGAGGAAAAAGGACTGAAAAAAACTTTTACTTAATTTTACTTAAACATATTTGTTGACAAAGATTTTATCATAATTGTTTTGAATGTTCTGCCTCAGATTTGTGAAGTGATCCACAAGTGTTGACCATAAAGAAGAGTTTAAACCACAATTAACCATCAGGTTTCTTTAACTTTCACTCAGGAGCAAAAATCAGCCTTTAAATCGAAAGAAATAACGATTTGATACTTATCGTGATAATTAGCGATATCGAAGATATGAAACTTTTATCGTGATAAAAATTTTGCCATATCGTCCAACCCTATCTATTCATGGATTAATCATTTAGTCAAGAAATAGTCATCAAAAGATTCTGAGAGAAGAAAGTGATAGAAAATAACAAGGACTAAATCTTTACATTTGAGAAGCTGGAAGCAGAGATATTGGCCATTCTTTCTTGATTAATCAATTATCAAAATTGCATTGCAGTTGGGGAGGAAATTCCAGGGCAACACTCTTTGTAATGTCTCGGGAAATGAAACGGATGTTGTTGTTGTTTCTGCTTAAGTGAAGAATCACGCCTTCGCTAATGTATACTGTTGAAAAGAAAAACAGTCTGCTCACTTTTTGTTGGTTCAATGTCAACACTCTCCTATAAAAAGAGTTCTTGGAACATAAAAAATATATTAAAGAGCTTTAAAAAAAAAAAAGCAAAACTGGCCCACATCTTCAGTTGCTCACATTTTCTGTAAACCTGGTGCTTGGTACCTTTGTGCCATAGTTAAGAACACAAAGAACACCTGAGAGGTGTAGCCTTCAGCGCGCTGTTAGCGGGGGACTGCATTTGACTGATTAGTGCAGCGAGTGACCTGTAACTGCACCACAGACGGGCAGCAGCTACAAGCGAGGCGAAGCCATTAGTGACACACGTGCACACTTACTGGAAATGTCCCACTCAGCACAATGAGGGTGGAACCCGATGCTACTGCCAGGACAGCACACACTGCTCACACATTTCCACTGCTGACTGACAGAAAGGACAAGATTGAGATTCAGATGGCCGCTGAGATCTGCTACACTGCTCACAGCAGAGCGTGCTACGTGAGGTGTTGCTGGTCCCACTACTGATGGGGGACACTGAGAATGATCTGACCTTGGATACATATCGCCAGTTTATTAGGTACACCTAGCTGAAACGAATGCAGTCACACAACAGTCCTGCAAAACAAATCCTACCTTCATGAAGGTTATAACAGGTGTTGATTCTGCCTTTTGGTCGTTTAGGAGACTGCGACAGAGGTGTTATAAAGTGTATTTGAAGGTAATTACACATTTTAAAGAACTGTCATTACTTTACAACACCATTACTCCATTTAAAAATGTTTGATAGCATTATATTTCTTGAACGGTGTATTGTTTAAGACTGGAATTTCTGGTTTGTAATGCAATTGAATTGTATAGCATCATAGTGAGAGGTGTGTCTAATATATCGTCCCCCCTCACTGATATAAACAGGTATAAACAGGTGGCCAAAATAGCTCTGATTATGATGCAATCCAGCACCACAAACTACAGCCTCGAAAATCACCATGAAGTTTAAACTAAAACTATTTAAACAAAGCTGAACGTGATTTATTGCAGGGTTGTTGCATTAATTTAAGACACTTAATGTTAACACTTAAACTTAACAACCTGGCAACTGAATGTATACACCACATAATATCCTCAATAAAAAGAAATAAGTGTGAGTGGAGACAGCAGAATATTAAAATCACTGCCAACCTGTCCCAACCAGGATCTTTTTTTACTCTTTTGTTTGAGCCACGTAGTTAAAATACTACACAAAAGTACATGCTGAGCAACATCTTACTCAAAAACAAACATTTCTTCACCACCCACTATAATTTAGCCTCATCTCCTGCAGCCTATAATTTCCTCCTTCTGCTGGTTCAAGCACACAAGGTCTTTTTTTCTGGATCCAAACAGCTCAGTATTCAACAAGATTGTCCACCTGGTTACATAATGAAGGCAGAAAAGTATTATTTTAATACTTGAACACGCAAGATCCCACTTTGTCTGCTGTTTGACTCACCAGGAGCAGCTAGTCAGCTAGTGGTAAAGTCTATCTCTGGGGTGCAGCAGGTGTTGTTGTGTGGCTCTAAATTCATTCATAAACAGGGTAAACAGCTGGCGTACAGTCCACTGTCGTCGTGTTAATGCAAACAGACCGCAGCTCAACTTGACAGCTACCACAGTCAGCACATTTAGCTTCACCCGGCAAGCGAACCAAATCGCTTCTAGTCACACTATTCAAATGTGAAGGTTTTAATTTCGCTATAACGCCGGGTTTTCATAAAAGAAGTCATAAAAGAAGCTGAGAATATTACCGCTTTGCTCCGCTGAGTCCCTCAGAGATGTCCGACTGCTCCCTCGATCCATCTATTTACTGTCCAAGCCAATGGTGTGGTCTTGTGAGCGTCCGACGTCACTTCCGGACACTCGTACACCTGTAGTTAAAGATCGTCTATTTAAAAGATGAATCCAGCAGCAGGACAAGTCGCCCAGCTTCCGGTCTGAAGTCCAATTTTGAAGAACTTTGATTTAAAATTGTCCACTGGCACAGTTTGATATTGTCATTTTAACTTTATAGTAAAAATGGTTATATACATTGATTTCTTCATTATTAACTAGCAAAATAATGTAGTATATAGCTACATAAGTACATAGTGTATACTTTATAGAGCTGAGGTAGAGTTGATGTCAGATGTATAAAATAAATACTTTGGTATCTGTCTCACCTTCTTGTGTGCTTTTTACACTTTCATCATTTTTATTAGTGTGCAGCCTCTGGGACAATATGCAGAAATGTTACTCTACACCTAGGCTAAACAACATTGCTTTGTACAAATGTGCTTTTTCACTTAATAATCTTGGGAAGTCCATTTGATGTACATAACTTAATTAATAATAATTTGACAGAACTGGATGTTAACAAACAATTTTTGTTGTAGCTTATACAATTCGTCCACAATTACTTCACAGCAGTGAAGCGGACTCTATTGGAAGCTTCGCTTTATGGCGCTGTTTGTGGTATCATAAAATATAAGCAGAGTGAGAGCTCTTCGTTTTTCTCCTCTCTGACGCTGTGGTTAAAAATAGTCTCTCTATGTTTTCGATGGGCTGCACCGGGACTTACCGGAAAAATTATAATAATAAAGACGCAGATGTTGGAACATATTTTAGCAGAATGTCTAAAGATTACACAAGTTGAATCTTTACAATTAAACGGCTTCATTTAAGAGTCAATAGGAACTTACGTTCACAAGGACACATACTACTTACACTGCATTAAAGTCAACGCTTTGCATATTTTCAGTGTAAAAGCAGATTTCAGATTTTACTTGTGAAGGAACACTTCATTTATCTGAATAAAAAACAAGCAGCGAAACGGGGAGGGTGTGAAACCGATACTGTACCGTCGGGCCACCTCTGCCTGAACCAATGAGCGCCCTCCGAAGCTGCGCCGAAACTACTGCAAGGCTACATGCTTGGCTGGTGGACTAAAACAGTGTCGAAGATTACAACAGACAACAAGGGAATGTGCACGAGTTCACTGTGCAGAGAAAAATCCCAGCGTGTTCACATCGAGTTTAACCTCTTTGCAGAATAATGTGAGAGAGCACATGCATTTTCTGTCAAACACCAAAAGCAGTCAAGACAATTCAATTGTGGGAGCTATTTTAATAATTACTTAAGAGTTCTTGAATATGTAAAGGTCACATGTGAAATAAAATGCAACATAAATACCTTGACAGGAAAATTAAGCAGAAGAAATCAATAAAAGCAGCAGTGCTTCCTTGAAATTCCTACTTTTAAACTTTTACTCAAGTAAAGGTACACATGTATTAGCAGCAAAATATATTAAAAAATAAAAGTTGACATTAGTATAGCCTTTCAGATGTTTACATTATTACAAAGACTATCATGCCTCACATTATTGCATTTGGTGGAGCTGAGATATTTTATTCAGTGTTGGACATTTTCATCTGTGACAGTGCATCATTTTATTTACAGTAATATGATTTGCCTTTGTATGTTTTGTATCAATACCATACATAGTGAACTTTTGGCACATTTCACTAACTTTATTGGTAACTGATGATGATTTGCATCTGTATGTTTTATATAAAAGGTAACTATGAACTATACTGTCAGACAAATGTAGTGAAAAGCACAATATTTGTGCAGCTACAAAATTGTACCGTATTTGAGCAAATGTACTTAGTTACCTACCGCTGAAGTTTTTATTCTCAGTGAACACATATGAATGCTAACACATGTATTAAGTGTACAGCACAGTGTGTTGCTAAACATTCAGTTTACAGTCCTGTGTCATTTGTGTAAATTGTTGAAAAATAATCCACAGGAGGCATACATTATGGCTTTATAGTGTCTTTTTTCACAATTGCTTTCACTGCAGCAAAATGAATCTACGTGACCCTTAACAAAAAAGGCCACACAAACAGTCAGAAGAAAATCTGTGGATCGAGGCACATTTACAGCTATAGCAGCGTGGACATCAGAACTTGCTGTTGTGCAGCTCAGCAACCTGCCGCAGAGTGTCTCTTTGGTTTGAGCCAAGTCTGGTTTTGCCGCTCACCTCCTGCCACTGTAGAGCACCATGGCTGCTCACCACCTAAGAAGGAGATCATCAAAAAAACAATAAGGAATTATATATTCCCTGTAGGGGGGATAATTAAATGTTCCTCCCCAAAGATCACACATATGCAGAGCTAACAAATAGTCCATCAGTCAAGTTCTTCATATATACTACATAAAAAAAAATATTGGATGTGGTATGTATTTAAAAACAATAAAATAATAATAATGTTCTTACCATACTGTTGATTTCTACCATCTCCTTGCTCGTTCTGTCCAGGTGAATGTTTAGGACAGTGGTTTCCACCCAGGCATTATCTGTGTTCCTGCAGTCATCTACATAACCCTCAAACACCTGAAACACAGTAACACAACAACCGCAAGTCAGAATTTGCAAGTTCCTCAATGTCAGAAAAGCATGTTTACATTAAATATTACTCCTTCAAATCAAATCAGCAATAGTGAATTACAGGTGTGATCCTGCACAACAGTCAGTGTGTCTTGAAAAACTAAACTAATTTGCTGATAAGAACCTCTACTAATGTCATGATCCCCCTGCCTTGACATCTGATAAGTGAGTGAAAGTGTTTATGATTTTATTTTTCACTTTTGTATGAATGTCGGATGCTTGCTGCATTTTGGTTTTGTCTGTGTTGTGTTCTCTCTCTCTCTCTCTCTATCCTTCTCTCCTGGCTGCGGAGTTATGGGCACACTGCTGTTCCCGGGGTTGGCATCCAGACACACCTGCCGCTCATTCCTAATCACCCACCTGACCCATATCCTGCCATAATTTAGGAAGAGCCTGATTTCAAGTCCCTGCCAGATTATTGAGTCGTCTATTGTGTGTCTTGAGACTGAACTGTATTAGTTTTTTAGAAACATGCTTTTGCTAATCGCTTTCTAATCTCCACCACCAGACATGCTCTCCTGCAAACCCCCCCCAACCTATCACCTCGTGGTTCATGGAAAACACTGGACTGTCTCACTATGAAACCCACCTGCTTGCTTAACCCTGGATGCAACTCACTGCACTTGGTGTTCATCTGCTGGCCCCACTCCCTTTACATTCCTCCCTTGTTCTAATGAATCACCAGATATCTGACAACTCAGTGCATCATTTAAGTGGCAGAAGATTTTGGTGATCACATGTCTCAGACTTTAGGAAGAGGTCTTCTTGCCTTTGTCCAACCCATTTATATTAATGAGGTTAGGCTAACTAATAGAAACGCCTTTCTCTGTATAAATCAGTACTAGATCAACTACGACCATAAAGTTGAATCAATATCTCTCGGAAACAGTTTCAACAAAAAATAAACATCATAATCTTCATGAAGGGAGGATTTATTGCAGGACTGTTGTGTTATACTGCATTAGTTTTAGCTTGGTGTGCCCAATAAACTGGCAACTGAGTGTAGGTTCCCCGGCTACAAACTCAAAGTTGGTTTCCATAATGCTTGAAGTTATTTTTGATTCCCATACAGGTCTACAAGGCCTCTCAGGTCATCAGATTAAGGGCTCTTGGTTGTGTCCCGCTCAAAGTTTTTGAGTGAAGTTACTTTGAATTTACTGTTGCGTCTTATTCATTACTGTGCTTTTATTAATCATCCAGTCGCTGTCTGTAAACCAAACTGATCCTCCAGGAACCTTTGAGCTTTACGCTACAAAGGCAGACCTACCTTTGTTCCCTCTGGTACTTTTGCATTTATTTTTTCAAACAGTTTCTTCCCCAGGATTCTCTGAAGAGTCAACGGCAAATAATCAGCAGAATGGGCAGGTCCCTGCAGGTTTCAAAATCACAACACAACTGTATATTTATTTTGAACAACTCAAAAATTAAAGAAAAAGCACATGAAGTGATCAAACAGTGAGACTCACGCCAGGTAAAGCCAAATTTCCTTGGCTCTCGTCCAAAACCGCCAGGTACTCCAAAACAGATCTCGCGCTGTCTCGCCAGCTAAAATTTTTTTAAAAGTCTCAGATCACGGCATGCAATCCAGTGGTGGTGAAACAACCTTTTTGAAAGAACCGTAGAGACATGAGATGACCTACCGTGTAAGCACAAGGTCAACATTCAGATTTGGACCAAAGTGGCTCAGTGCACCACGTCCCGTGATGCCCGTCCTCCCTCCTGGGTTTCTAATGACAGACAAGATACACATCAGACATCAAGACATGCTTGTAAGGTTACTTTAAGTGCTATTTGATGCCTTGAGTATCTTATGCAGTATCATACCTGTGATTATGTAAGGTTTCTGATTCTGATCTGCAAGGAGAAAGACATAAGAAGGCTGCCTTGTAATCAGATAGTGGACCATAGTGGATAGTGGACCCAGGGTTAGATCAGAAAGGTTAGTCAATACAGATTCGAGATGGCTTTGCTGATTCTTTGTTTTTAATAGGAAAATCTGTTGTTATCTTGACAAAAACACCCATAATAACTTGTCTCAGCTGCAAATATATCCACACATCAAACCTAATAGGAACCAAACATTATGTGTGGTCTTCTTTTAAAAACATACCCATCCATATGGTCTCCACCTTCTTCAGAGACGTAATATGTCGGCATGTATGAGCTGAAGCGGACCTGAAAATAAAAGAGAAAACATGAAAACCATCTAATAAACCCAGAGCATCGTTTTTTCTGTAGTGATAGGACCAGCAGCTGGTGAATTTGTATTGGAAATTTATATGAAATACCTCCCATGGCACCTTCTCCTCAGGCACAGGAAAGCGTGTGAGCTTGCTGTTTGGGTAGTGAAATTGACGGGCGTTCACATGGAACCCATCCTCTTTCTCTAAAGTATTTCTCAAAGTGTCGAGGGACTCGTCTGTTGTAATTAGAGCTGCAGGGAAGAGTGCAAACGAGAGGAGATTTGACATGTAGTCTATTTGCAAAATGATGTACATTAACAATAATAATGAATGAGTAATGTAGTTGCTGACTCGGCAATTGTGCTTCTTTTGCTGCGAAACCCTGAGATTTCAGACTGTCTATAATCCACTGAAGGGCTTTGGCTGACTGGATGACCTGATGAGACAAAATAAAAGTGGGTCAAATAATTTTGATGAGTGCTTATACAATGTTGAAGATGACAGATTTTCCACTGGGAAAATCTGGAATTAAAATTCAACAGCCACACGTGTGGGTGCATCAAGAAGTGTGTCATTTCTATATTGTGCTTTGCTCACGCAGCATAATGTGAAATGTTACGGACACAGGTGCAACATTAGTGATAACCCCCCCCAAAAATAAATAGGTCACAACCTGCTCCTCTAGTCGAGCCAGTCCTTTCACCGTGTCAACAGAGCTTCTCTCCTCCTCCCTCTCCAGCCGATCAGCTATAGCAGCAACCCTCAGGAGACAAACAAGCACAGTATGGATGTCTGAATATCACTCCTACGCTGTATAATGGTTTATACTCTATATATTAAGTCAAATTAGAATTTGAGCCTCATCAAACACAACACAAAATTAAGGCCCCAGAAGGGGGTCAAAAGATAAAATCTGAGATCATTAATGGGATATGAGACACGCATATTATTATATATATATACACATATACACACACACAAGTGCTGGTCATATAATTAGAATATCATCAAAAAGTTGATTTATTTCAGTAATTCCATTCAAATAGTGAAACTTGGATATTATATTCATTCGTTAGACACAGACTGATATATTTCAAATGTTTATTTCATTTAATTGTGATGATTAAAACTGACAACTAATGAAAATCCCAAATTCAGTATCTCTGAAAATTAGAATATTACTTAAGACCAATACAAAAACAGGATTTTTAGAAATGTCGGCCAACTGAAAAGTATGAACTTGAAAAGTATGAGCATGTACAGCACTCAATACTTAGTTGTGGCTCCTTTTGCATGAATTACTGCAGCAATGCGGCGTGGCATGGAGTCGATCAGTCTGTGGCACTGCTCAGGTGTTATGAGAGCCCAGGTTGCTCTGATAGTGGCCTTCAGCTCTTCTGCATTGTTGGGTCTGGCGTATCGCATCTTCCTCTTCACAATACCCCATAGATTTTCTATAGGGTTATGGTCAGGTGAGTTTGCTGGCCAATTAAGAACAGGGATACCATGGTCCTTAAACCAGGTACTGGTAGCTTTGGCACTGGGTGCAGGTGCCAAGTCCTGTTGGAAAATGAAATCTGCATCTCCATAAAGTTGGTCAGCAGCAGGAAGCATGAAGTGCTCTAAAACTTCCTGGTAGACGGCTGCGTTGACCTTGGGCCTCAGAAAACACAGTGGACCAACACCAGCAGATGGCATGGCACCCCAAACCATCACTGACTGTGGAAACTTTACACTGGACTTCAAGCAACGTGGATTCTGTGCCTCTCCTCTCTTCCTCCAGACTCTGAGACCTTGATTTCCAAAAGAAATGCAAAATTTACTTTCATCAGAGAACATAACTTTGGACCACTCAGCAGCAGTCCAGTCCTTTTTGTCTTTAGCCCAGGCGAGACGCTTCTGACGCTGTGTCTTGTTCAAGAGTGGCTTGACACAAGGAATGCGGTGTATTGAGTTAATTAGCTGATTAGAGTGTGGCACCAGTGTCTTCAATATTGAACCTTTTCACAATATTCTAATTTTCTGAGATACTGATTTTGGGGTTTTCATTAGCTGTCAGTTATAATCATCAAAATTAAAAGGAATGAACACTTGAAATATATCAGTCTGTGTGGAATGAATGTATACATTATACGAGTTTCACTTTTTGAAGATGATATGCTAATTATATGACCAGCACCTCTATATATATCTTTTTTGTCCCTACATAACTGTCAAAGTTCAAATGAAACAATTGGAGAAGGTTAAATCTCACATCTCACAACTAAAACATATTTAAGTTGTGATGAGGGGTCTCACACAGACAGCAGTACCCTAGAGGGTTGTTATGCAGCCACACTGCGAAACATTCCTTTGAGATTTTACTTTTGGGCTGTGTCCAGGATGCGTTGCTCCATGCTCTGGCTCTGCACCTGCTGTGTGGACAGCAGGTATTTGTCCTTCATCAGGGCCTCCCAGGACAACAGCTCCTCTTCCTCTGCCCGAAGAAGCTTGTTCTCTGAAACACAGCGTCACACATTGAGTTAAAGCAGAAAGGGGACATTTTAACACATTAAAATCTCTAGTGGTACATCCTAAAGAAAACTGGATTGTGTATGAACACTAAAAATGGACTCAACAGTATCAACCGATAAGGAGTCAAAGGTCATCGCCCAGTCATTAGACATTCATATCCAAATCTAAGGACTACCTTTAAAGTTAAGTTAGTTAAGGGTTACCATCTCCCCTCATCAACAACCAAAATTCCATAAGTAGGTCACACAATATTAATAACCACAATGGCTGAACTCCACCTGCTAATAAAGGCCTGAAAGTTCTGGAAAAGTTCGAGCAAGTGCTTTTTGTCAAACTCTTATTTTCAAGCTCAGAATAGAGAAAAAGTCACAATCCCACTTCTTGTTTCTGCTAGTGGAGTTTCTTAGCTGCAATGGAGATGGTTTAGATGTGATCATGTGGGAGATGGTAACCCTATAGTAAAAAACATCATATAAAAGCTCTTAAATGAAAACCCACCATTATAAAATCAGTGAAGTCTAATATGAGTAAGAATGTCATTGTATGAAAAGTAAATGTTTTCCTATAGTGATAAATTTACAACCAGAGAAGAAGTCTGCAGCATATAACCATGAAGTCTACCCATATAGTCGTTCAGTATGTGCAGAAATAAATAATTTAATACTTACTAAACTCTTTGCATATGATGGGAGGTCTGCACAGAACTATGTTCCTGATGAAGAGGTAAAGATGGCTGAAGATTATTAAAGGAGGAGGGGCAGCAGGGCGGCTGTGGTACTCCTTAATTAGCTCGTATCTTTGAAACTTCCATATTCTGTCTGTGTTGTCCTGAACTTCCTGGAAGGTAAAGCTGTGCAGGGACACAAAGAGAGACAGAGGATGACAAGGGGACACCGGTGATAAAGTGGTGAAAACACCATCATCCAAGCTACAGTAAGTGTAGGACTTGCAGTAACAGCACAAAAGAAAATCTCACACTATTAATCTTAGGACTGGATTGAGCCACAAAGGCATTGAGCAGAACTCACTTGAAGATAGCTATGAGCAGGTTGAGCAGCAGTATGTTGGCAAAGAGCAGGTAAACACAAATCATAATGATGGTGAGCCACACGGGGAAGGCTGGGGTTTGGTTTTCATTCAGCACAGGACACTTGGGCTTCAGGGGATCGTCGCCATTCATGCTGCAGGAGTTTATGTCAAACGAAGTATCTGCAGAGGGCAAAGAGATTGTTTTCTCAGTGGTAACATATTAATTAAACAACAAGGTCTGGGCCTCTTAAAATGTGAAGGGTGAAGAAAGTATCCTTGAAATGATCAATGCGTGTAAAAATCAGTTAAACCAGATTCATATATACACAAATAAATATGTATATAATTTTATAAGATTCATATTATTCTAGTCATTATTAGTCATTTCACTTGGCAGCACTACAGTTTTTCAACTACAAAGAAAGTAATACTATGTTCCTTCTCCACTCACTATCAATATCTGTGGGGAAATTTCCAAATATGATGAGGTACGGCTCATAAACTGCCCCCCGGAGAATCCAGTTCAGCCGATTTTCATTGTTGATGAGGATGCCTTGTTTGGCCACGCCGTACGCCACAACCCAGATACTCAGCAGGAACATGAAGAAGAACATATCCATCATCTGGAGGACAAACATCAGACATCAATCACACTGAAAAATGCCTGGATACCACAACCAGTGGGCACTTTCAAAACATGTAAAACTTCAGAAGGTTCGATCTGTCAGTCTGCACACTACCGAAAGCGTCACATCTATAACAACAATTATGTATTTTGCAGTGAGAAGCTTCAGTTTTTTTAAAGGTTAGCCCTGTTAGTCAGCTGTAACACTTTTTATGTAACGCAAAGTGCACTCTCATCTGCGGACACCAAATGGAGGCCGAGTGGAAGAAGCCCAGCGTTCATGTGTATGAGGCCATCTCACCATCCTCTTCACTATGATGATTTTGGGTCCCAGGGTTCTGCTGATCGTGAAGATGGCCATGAGACGGAGGCAGAAGACCACAAAGTCGATGCAGAGGATGATTTTACCTGCATAGAACAGCTCAGTCGTCAGCCTGAAATAGAAAAACTTGGTGATTCATAGATAACCCTTAGGGCAGAGAGCCCTTCCATGGCCTAAAGGGATTGTCTGGAAGGAAGGAAACTTACCTAAATGCAAGGCCAATAATAAAGAGGAGGATGGAAAGAACATCTAAAATATTCCACAGGTCATTAATGTACATCCTGGCTTTCTTACAAAACCCAAAGCCATCAGGATCATGAAACAGCTGAGACAGAAAAACAAAAAATCATTAAAATTGGCAGTTGGAGATTTTAGTAATGTAGTGATATATTTTTTTTAAATAAGGCACACTCTGGAGGTAGTAATAAGCATAATGGTTGAGTAAAACCTCAGGTGGAGCCCAATAACTAATCCTGGCAAAGTGAATTAAATAAATAAAGAGCAAGGAGGAAGCTGAGAAGCTTAGTATTTTTACTATAACATGTAAAAACTGGCAGTCTATCCTTTCCTAGATACAGTATCAGCATATGTAAGCTGGTTGGCTAGCCTGCTTAACTTCAAGTCACGAAAAAAAGAAAGAGAACCAATGCAGTAAATCAACAGACAAGACAAAAGACTGTCGAGTCGTCAGACCTCAGGGTATGTTGATTTGTCCTTAAATTTTTGTACATGTATGTCCCAGCTGCACTCTCTCACCTGTCTGACCTCCTCACACACCAGAGAGAGCAGCCAGATGTAAAGCAGCAACTCCCCGGCAGAGGGCGTGGCCTGGAAGTCGATCATCAGCACCACAGCAAACAGGAAGAGGAAGGCGAAGTAAGACACAATGTTCAAGTAAAACTTGACCTGCGGAGAGCTGTACAGGCAGACCAGTCTGGACCACTTGCTCAGAGGCTTCAGGTGCTGCGGGCTAGTGAGGTCACAGGGGTCAGAATGTCATTTGATGTTGTGGGACCCTTATTTCTCGCTTACCCTTAACTGACATGCTAGTGACCTCCGAACTGGATGGGGTCATATGCTGTCAGTGCATTAAGAGGCAACTGTCTACTTACGGGCCGTGAGAATTTGTTCGAAGTGTACTTCCTGTCACTTTCTCCACTGTCTTGATCTCCTCATCCTTCTCAATTTCTCTGTGGATGACTTCATCACGTCTAGGGAGAAATTTTATTAATTAAGAAACGATATCGACCAATCATCGCTGTAGATGTAGTGAAAGCAGTAACACACAAATCAGTTATGGTTAGCAGAAAAAACATTAAAAGAAGTCTTGCTGCCACCAGATGGTGTCAAATAAATACAAATACTGTGTGTTTTCTGTGGGAGAAAGGCACAGAGCACTGCTATATTACACCAAATCTATGAATCTGTATTGAATGTTATTACATTTTTATTACTGTAAGTAGACAGTAATAGAATCACCTTACATTTTATTCAGCAGACCACATAGGTGGTATGTTACTTAGCTTCAGACCTCCTTGACATGCTGTCACACACAGTATTGGTCCTAAACTAAGCAAAGAAACATTTTCCTGACTGTTTCTCAAGAAGGTGCGCCTCTAGATTTTTTTAAGATGAAGGAAGAGGACAATGGACTCTGGAGTCTCAGTACCCCTTTATGATACTTATATGGTTATTCTTGTGATTAAAGGGGCCATGAAAAACATTTGACTTCATCCAAATATCAGAAAGCACCAGTAAATTGTATTCAGTATACATGACAGCATTATTATCTTATGAGATGATCTCATGTCTTGCTTGTTGTTTGACCATGCCAAACAATCATTGGCCAGGCTGACTGTGATAAGATGGCTGCCCTAACATTTTCACACATGTAACTGTTGGAAAGAGATCTCATATTTCTTTTTTTTTCTCCAAATATAATCTTGGATCTGAATTCAAGCACAACAACTTCTGTTACCAAGTTTTCACCCTTGCACTGCCTTTAGAAACAAGTGGTGGTACAAATGGGCACTGCTGCTACTAGTGTTTTGTCAGACCAAGTCACACCATGCAGACGATGTGCTGAATCAATGTGGTCATATTGAGTAGGTAGTTTAGTTTTGGAGAGCATATCAATTTCTGACTGCTCTTCTGCTTCAGTGGTTCAACTGAACTTTGTCTGTGTTGACATCTTGTGCAAGTCCCTTGAATCTGGGAGAGTTGTCAGACTGACTTTTTTACTGACCAATTTAAATATATTTATTTATTTTACAGCTGATAAGACTAACCTGAAAACCAAAAAGCCAGTGAAGATAAGTGGGAAGAAGACAATGGAGATCAGCACTCTCCACACAGGGTTGACAACTGAAAGCTCACCACACCAGATCTGTGTCAGAAGAGACTTGAAGACAGACATGTTATCAGATCAGGTAGTGCTGAACCTACAGCGATTCATGCTGCTGAAATACTCATTCATCAAGTTAAAGTCACTGATCACAATTGTTCTACTTTGTCTACTCCAAAAACTTTGTGTGCAGTGAATGTTCTACAGTGCAAACGATAGAAGTCTCAGGATATCAAGACGCACTCCTGAATTCTAAAACTGTTAGAAGAAAAGTCCCTAAATATATAATGTGGAGGTCTGCTCTAACCTCCCTGACTGAGCTATAAAGCTTTTATCATCAGCCTCCAGTGCCAGCCTTAGACACGTCGTCTTTCCCCAGAATGGTGACGCACGAACCAACAACTTCTGAGCCCGCTCTTCGTCACTTCTGTGGCATTCACTGAACACACCTGGGACACCACACACACACAGAAGACAAATGTTAACCTTGTAAAATCCCTATATTTACACCAATAAAGCCACTCATTATGTCTGTGGTATTCTACCAATGGCGTGTTTCTCATAGTGATTGGCAAGCGCTTGCATGTCCTTTGCCTCATCTGCATCACTTCCTTCCTCTGCCATTTCTTCAGGATCTTACTGGCGGCCAGCAGCACACATGCAGTCTCTGCACTGTGCACATACAGATACAGAAATCTTTCTGCAAGGCCATGTATACGCACAACACACAAATGACCATTTTCAAACCTTGTCTGTATTAGAGTAAGTGTTTACCTGCTCCCAGGCAATTTCAGCCAGCTCCTTATTGTTCTGGACAACAGCCCAAAGGAAAAGGTCTGTCCCTGAGTCCCTCTGTGCTTCAGTACTGTCCTCAATGAGTGGAGCTGGGAACCCGCCTGACTCTAGACAGCTAGAGGAAAAGTGAAGGAATTTGTTGCATTAATTGCATTGTTTATGGCTGTAGCTTGATTTCAGATATACTAATTATAAACTCTCCCAAGTCATATGCCCCTTAAAAAATCTGTTTTTTAGTCAGTTTATACTTCCTGTAAATTTTATTTCTAAACTAAGATCGAAAACACCCTCTCCAAATTCTGGTGACAATACTGAATCCCTTTATCCCTTTATTATTTGTTGGCCTAACTGAATACTTCTAAACTCTTTGCTGATGATGGGAGGTCTGCACAGAAGTAGTCTATT